ATATATATATATATATATATATATATATATATATTAGTAAATATTAAGTCTGTTATTTCAGCTAGTATCTAAATAATTGTATGAAATGCACTAAATGGATTTGTGTTATGGTTATTTAGATTGTTGAGGTTACATATTTTGGATGGTATGTTGAGTTATTATATGATTTGTAGTATTTATATGAACTTATAATTAAAAATGAAAAGTACTTAGTTCACTTATTATCTAAATTGTGTAAATTAATACATGAATTGATGAGGAGTTGAGAGTGAGTTTCAGCACCCCATACATATTTGTGTATGTATAGTTATTTACATAATGAACTTGTCTTGTTTTATAGAAGTAGTATTATTTATTATTTTTTATCTTGTATTCTCTTGAGTTTATGCTCACTTGTTAATTTATTGTTTTAAAAATAATTAGATGTAGTACGTTGAATTATCGGTATGATTGAATTATATATTTATCTTAATTTTGATATAATTTACCCTTCTTTCTTTTTGTTTTTGTTTGTAATGTGAGATTTATTGTAATTATACTTTATACATGAGTTACATGAGAGATCAGTGTAAGAATATTAAGGAAAGTTTATATATATACTTACTTTTCTAATTCATGTTATATTTATTTTTCAAACTTAATGTTTAATGTAACTTGATCTCATGGCTTGATTTGTGGTTATTGAGGTATTAAGAAATATTTCATAAATCTAGAAATACAATTTGATTTATTAGTAATTTTTGAATTTTGAATTCAATGCATGTTTTACTTGTTGAAGATTCAAGGGATTAGAACTTGATGAGTAATCATAAGTTCAAAGATATTAGGAATAAGATTTGAGTATAATTATGAGTCGATATTAACATGCAATTGAAATTGGGATAATTGTGAATGCATGACAATGAGGTGGATGAAATTTAGTCATTAAAAAAAGTAAACACACTATGTTAAAATTGCTTGCACACCAACTATTTGATAAAAATACAAAAAAAAAAGTTTCTTGTGTTTTTATGAATAATGTTGTCTAATTGAGTTGTAAATTACCTGAATTGTCAACTGTTGCAGAAGTCTCTTGGGTGAGAACAATATTTATCATGTGTTATCCTCTCCTCTCCTTCTCTTTTTTTTTTCATATTCTTCTTCTCACCCATCTTTTCTTAATATAAAAAAAATCCCATTAAAATTTGGCAGGAAATTTACAACTCATTTTGTTGTGGATTGACATAAGGAAATATTTGTCAATAATAAGAATCACAAATTACTAACTAAATTTACTAACTAAATGCACCATGAGATATAAAACCAACAAAAATAGTCATTTGCAATACAAATTCTAATTTACTAATGAACCTTACTTTATCGACAAATTGATTACTAATAGAAATATTTATCGGTAATTAAATTTCAAAATTTGTCAGTAAAATCCAACTGTAAATTTGGCTTTATCAATAGTAAATTTGTCGATAATTAAAATTTTTTTGTATTGAATTACATAAAATGATAAAAGAAAAATTAATGTAACAATAATTTAAAATAAGAAATAAGAAAATATATTTAAAT